AGGAAAGACCGGAATTACTGAACGAAAATACACAACAAGTAAAAACAGAAGTTGATTGAATAAAAATAACATTGGAAGTTATGCAACGGGAATAAACCATGCATTAGTAGGTAAAAGTACTCCAATAGTTTTGTAATTCTTTACAAGGAAGTATTCATTAGAACCGGCTCGGGGAAAGAAATAAAGATCGTTGTATATACATTATCTATACTAAACTGAAGAAAATCCCGGTTTTAATCTGTTTGTCCAAATTGGTCAAAACACGTCAAAGAAGACACTTTTAGCTGCTGGTTTTCCCAAAATCTCCACATCTGCCTTGCGTATGCCTACAATTAATCTCACTAATTACGGTATTCTTTCCTTTGTTGTTAACGCGGAGTTAATTTTACTAATGGATTCATCCTTTTAGCAAATTCCAATTTTACGCTAAAATTTCCCGAACAGTTTCACGAATTATTTACTTCCCGTTCCTCTTATGGGAATCGTTAATCTTTAACAAATTAAACAATAATCGCGTAATTCCGGTGCATTTAAAGATGAGAACGCACCTGGCGTGGCGTTATTAAAATACAGTAGGACATAAAAGCACGCACGCATAAAATAGTTCTGAAAAACGTCGTAAAAGCGGTATAGGCATTGTTATGGCTGTGGCAGGATACAGCATCCATGTTAATTTAATGGACCAATAAAAGTCTTTCACACCTGTGACGACTATTAAATGAGAGCACGTTGGCCACTTTTTCTTCGCATATAAAACTTGATTCGGAGCTGGATAGTTTTAATAAAAAAATCGGCAGACCATGAATATGTATTGGTTTGGTAGAATATTTGCGGCCTACGCAGAAACGGAGAATTAACATATCAGGATCAGCGGATTGATTTTAGTCTGGCAGCGACCGTTAGGCAGAATAAGAAATTATGCTAAGTGGACTGTCGTTGTATACGTGTATTTTAGGAATAAATTAGTTTTTGCTTATACCTAAATATTAGGCACCTTTTCAAAAAAAATCACTAAAAATGTAATTATTGTTTTGCACAGCAGGCTTTAAAAAAAGAAAACAATTTTAAAAATTCCTGAGAGAATAAAAGTGCTTGTCAGCCTTTTAAATTATGGTTTTTCAGTACAATTTAAACAAAAATCTTGATGATTTAAAACTACAGGAGATAATGCCACAGGGTTAGTTTACTTTTAAACATCTTTTGAAATTTTCGTTATATGTACCCGCAGTACAAGTGAATTAAAATAAAAAATTTACCATTCTTTGCGTCATGCAAAACTATGTTTTAAAAGCTGCTTGCGAAACTGGGAAACCGACTCAGAAATAATAAATAAGCAATATTTTTGACTTGTGAATAAAAAATTCATTTAACGTTACTTTTTGACACTTTCATTATTTTCTAAATGGCAAAGCAAAGAATGTACGTTAAAGCTTATCAAAATTCATTGTCAACAATATTCAAAAATCCCGGACGAGTGAACTAATGAAAATAAGAATGAAAATATGAGAATGTGACCACCTTTATATACGAGTATCAATTGTGTCAGCTATTATTGTAAAATAATTTTTTCTACAATCGTGTAAAAAATGACTCATATGTCAATGGTTTAGAGTGCAAAAAGTGGCACTTTCTTGCACTAGTGCAAGAAAATTTTTATTGCACTTTAATGTCAACCTAATCAACGTCAAATTTGATGTATATCCATATTTTCTTTCACTGAAAAGGAAGCACGTATCATGGAATATTCGGACTAGAGGGTAGAAGACTTTACCTTCGTTGACCGATTGGAAAAATAAGCCAGAAGCACGGTTTCTGTTAACTGCACAACATTTTTGTCTGCACACCATTCTTTGAACCGGTTGTATGTCAGATCGTATTGTTTTGTGGAATTTCTCGGGCAATAAATTAAATATTTCCGCATTGGCCCTCTCGGTAATTTCATTTTCGCTCGAATCGCTCTTTTTGGGGTCAGCACGGTTCAAAACACTCACTCACTACTTATTTATGGCGTTTTATTTTATTTTGCAAATTGTTTTTTTTTGGAAACATTGTTTGGTTGTCATGGTAGTCACGACTAACTAACATAAGACAGCATGATGATACCTTTTGGTTGTTGTAGAATTTTATTCAAATCTCCAATAAAACTGGTGCATTATACCCACGATTGTAGAAAAAACGTTGTATGCAACACGTGCAAAAGTGTTCTTGCACTTGACGTATTGTCCATATTTGTTTCGTCTCGTCGGACAATTGTTACGTCGCGTGCAAGAATCAGTCACTTTTTGCACTTGTTGCATAAATAACTATTAAATTGGAACTTAATCAAACATTGTTTATGTAATCATTTCAAAGAAACTTTAAAGGGGCATGTTTGTCAAGAATTCAACCAAAAGTGATCTAATTATGTCGGTATGATATCATTAAAAACATTTTATTTTGTCGATTTTTTGTTGTCAACTTAAATTTTTGTGCAGGTAGTGTATATGTACTCAAATGGAGCAGTTGATGTTATTTCACTAACAAATATTTTCAATATAATAACAATAGAAGCAAATCGAACATTACAAATATTTAAAAGGAAAATTTTATCTCTATCGGGTAAAATTCCAATCTAAAAGAAATTATGGGCTAAAACTATTTATCTACATTTTCATAAAAATTTTGTCTTATTTACATTATACGAGTACCTCGTAGAGATTACATGCGATATTGTTGTAAGAAAAGTTGTTACTATGTTACCAGTTGCCCCCTTATTGTAAATGTTTGAATTAGGTTCCTTCAAATATTAAGTTGTTTCTTACAAAATAAAACTCAAATTAATTCTATAAAAGGAGGCATAGCCATTTAACCACAAAACCGGAAGTTAAAATACACATTCATGAATAAAATATCCCTCGACATTCTTGATGTGACCACAACTTTAAGCAACCACACAAATATTCCAGATACACTATCGTTTAGTTGTGGCTTACACTGAATATAGTATAAACATAAAATATATAAACACAATAGTATAAAACATGACGATAAAATTTATAAAGTAAAAAAGCTTGAGGATTGAGCATTGAGTGTCACAGTGTGGCAGTAAAAAAGATAATATACTAGAACTGGCATTTTCAATGGACAACTGTATAGTGTAAACATCATATATTTTACTCTCAACGAGTTTTCAGGTTAATAATATTAATTGGTATACGTGACGTAGAAGTAATCACATTTGTTTAGATTTTTATTGCTACAATTAATTTTAAACTGTAACCACAGTGACAGCATAATATAGGATGATACAGCAATTACGGCGGAATAAAATTGTCCTGTGAGTTAAAAGTCATTTTGAGGTGAAAATTATTCAGTTTTTCATTTGTAGCACATATGTTGGTTAATAAACTTTAACTTACACTTGAAAAATGTCATCAGGTATTAATAATACTATATTTGGTTGTGGTATTTATATGTTTGATTACTATCAAGTTGAGTTAGTCCAGCGAAAATTTGGGGGATATTTGAATTTTCTTAATTGATGGAAGATAAGCAACTCTAAAGGATAGTATGTAGCTCTGAATTACTGTTGAGCAGGTATAGATACAATTCTTTACATGTGCACCGCTCTGTAATTATGTTAAATTTTTATATGACTTGATTAAAGGCAATATCAAATTTTCATTTCTATAATGGCTACAAAAATTACTGCAATACGTATAAAGATTGCCTTATGTTCTGTTATTGTATTGTTGATATACCTATTAGAAAAATAATTTTTTGTGTACTTATGATATTAATCTGTTCATTTGGTATGGAATTTTAATTCAGTGTTTAATTGAATATTAATTCTCATAATTAGCTTCGCAGACCTGGAAATGAACGTGTTCTTATAATACCGTATTTGAGTTACGTGTTTTTTCAGGTATTATTAGTAATGACCTTTATCTTATAAGTTATTTTCTAGAAAATCGTTCGCTACATTTGAATTACACTGTATGTGAATCGATTTCTGTAATAGTCTAAAATACTTATCTCTAGAAATGTATTTTGCATGTTAATTCTCTTCTCCGAAAATAGACAATATGTTCTTACAACAAAAGTTATATATGGATTGTAGCCTAATTACAATAATATTCAAACTTGAAAAGCATTAACCTAACATTTTCTTGGGTTGTAATTCTAAGTACAAATGCCATTCTTATAAACTGAGCTCCATACCTTTTATAAATTAATATGATACCTAAAATAAAACAAAAATTAGCTACAAAATATTTATTATAACTTTTTTTCTACAAACAGGTGCTATACTTAGTTAAGATATTTCTAGCTACTTGTTTGTTAGACAATTCAAGAATGTAGTTGCAAAGACAGTGTAAGTCAGTAATAATCTGAACATCACCTTATGAACCTAAAGTAGACACAACCAGCTCGTAACAATACATTATTTCAGTTTTCCTTGAAAATAAATACTGAAGTCGTGACAAAAAAAACTTACGTATATTACAGCAAGAGAATAAATTGAGTCCAGTTGAGTCCTCAGTCTTGCTATACGTAATTAAAAATTACTCCAACAAATTATACCTATGATGACGACTTCTACATTAATTATGCATAATTAATGTTAGATTATAGTTAATTTTGTTGTTAAAAGTTCACATATTGTCCTTTTCCTGTCGTTAATTCCCACAACACACGGTATTCAGCGTCCTAGGTTCAAGCAGTTTCTCACTGCAACTCAACACTTCAAATCTCGTCAACGTTATCTCTCTTAACATCGCGCTTAACCCACCAACCCCCACAGAATTTCTCCCGATCAACCTCCTCTCCCCGATCGCCACTCTTCTCCAAAACTCCGGTCGCATCTTCCCGTCCGGACTTAAACTTAGCCAATGATGTATTAGTCCGGCAATAAATCGCGCGCATCCGACTGGATAATCCGCACTAAGTAAGTCCGATTGTGGAGACGGGATGCCCCGATGACGTAACAAATCTCGATAAGAGACCGTCGCGGCTTTGACCAAATAACAGTTCACTCGCTGACTATTTAACGTTAATACGAACCTGTTTTTTGAGCAGTTGGTCGAGCGAAATGGACTGCGGATGTGCGGCGCCCTACATCGGTCCGTCCCTGGAGAATACCTGCGGGGGCGGCGCCTTCGTACTCTTCATGAGCCTCTTGGACACCTTCATCCGCAATAAGTGTGATTTGTCGGAAATCTGCCAAAGAGTGACCCCCAGGAGGCAACCCGATGTAGAGTACGACTTTGTGGTGATTGGCGGCGGCAGCGGAGGGGCGGCAGCGGCTGGAAGGTTGTCGGAGATGGCGAACTGGAAGGTATTGCTGATTGAAGCTGGTGGCGACGAACCCCCGGGCTCACAGGTACCATCAATGGTGATAAGTTACCATGGGAACCCTAACATGGACTGGAACTATAGGACGGAACCAGAGAAAAGTGCTTGTCTTGGGTTCCCGGAGCGACGGTGCGACTGGCCTAGAGGAAAGGTGCTGGGTGGGTGCAGTGTGATCAATGGGATGATGTATATGAGGGGGCACCCAAAGGACTACGATAACTGGGCAGCGCTGGGCAATACTGGGTGGTCGTACCGGGACGTGCTTCCAGTTTTCAAAAAATCGGAAGACAACCAGCAGATTGGTAACGTCGTGGAGAGTGCGTACCATGCCACTGGAGGGCCCATGACTGTGTCCAGATTCCCGCATCATCCCGAGCTGGCAGATGATGTTTTAACGGCTGCCAGAGAATTAGGGTATCCTGTTAGCGAAGATCTCAATGGTCGACAGTACTCAGGGTTTACCATAGCCCAAGCAACCATCAGGTGAGCCTCTTATTGTTCTTAGCAACGAAAAAACACCGCTGGTACTCTTGGGTCAAGATCAAGGTTAATCGTTCTCATTTCAATACAATACATATTACTCAATTCAGCATTTACCGGTAGGCATTCTTCGCTTGTTTGTAATAGTGTTTATTCACCAACGAAAATTGTAATCATCGATTTGGTAATTTATTATCACCACGGGCTGTTGACCCATTTAAAATATGTTAGTACCGCATATAACGAGTTTTAAATTTCCTCACTATTAAAGGCTGACATCAACGAATGCCGCTTGATTATAAAAATTATGCTCGTAAAAGTATATTAACTAATGTTAATTTTATAAATACCTGGATTCGTATTAAACGAAGTAATAGAAAATTGATGAGTGTTGGTATGTAAACGCGGATTATTACTGTGCCATATAAAATTTCAACTACATGCTTATTGTTTTAGAGAATTAATTACTCTTGTCTATTTTTTCCGGTAATTAAAATGTAAATTTTATCGACGGGTTTTCAAAAAGTGTTATATGACATCATTCAAATTACAGATATCTCTTGGCTATAAAAGTAAAATTACCGCCTGCATATTAAAGAATGCAGAAAATAATTAAAACTAATGTAGTAATAACGGCCATAAAAAAAGTGTGCGCAGTATTTTTCAGTTAGTTTAATGAAAATTTAAGCTCCTTGATAACTACGAAAAGTTTATCTCTGAGTGACGTCGAGTTACCGGTATCCCACGATTAACCTTTAATAATGATCAAAACAAAATTTAAAAAAACTGAAATTTAAGTGTGAGTTATTATTTGCGACTCTTATGGCATGCGAAGATTCGTAATTGCCATATGCATATTGATAACAAACCGCTAAACCCGAAACCGCAATCTAAAGTTGCCGCAACGGTCTTGACCTTGCTGCGCTTATTTACATACCCACACATTTTTTGCGGGATGGGTTCTTGTAACATACTGATACTAAAACAGTTACGTCCGTTAAAACTTGTCCATAAAAATTATAAAGTTACTACTACAGGTGAGACTTTATTTTTTGCTTTGTAATAATAAGTTCTGGAAGTGATAATTAACTACAAATAGGATGATTTATTTATATCCAATCAATATTATTTTAATTGTAAGCTGTCATGCAAACCATATATTTTTAACACTGTATTAATTATAGTCTATTATGCAAAGCCATACATTTGTCAAATAGCCATGTTATCAGGTAACCTGTGTGCATCAAAGATTGATTAATGATTAAAATACGATAAAATATGGAATATCGCCGGGAATTAATGCTACTATTAATATCGAAGTTGATTGCTCTACTGCACATAGTGGTTTACATTAAATCCTTTTTTTATTTCATTTACGAGTATATATTATGTTTGATAAAAAACTTTCCGCTTTCAAGAATAAAAGGAAAATTGTCTTTTAAAATTTATAGGTATATTTACATTAGATAAAGTAGTAATTTAAGGGATTATTTGTATCTCAAATGAACCTTCTGTATGCTCTAAACAAAACTGACTTACCTAGAACACAGAACAGTGGTGTCCCTTGTCAGTTGTAAGTCTATACGTCGAAAAATTATTATACTTTCAAGGGAACTTTATATAAATTTAATAAAATATTCACTCTTAAATCTCATGTCAGATGCTTTAAAACATATTGCTATTCATAAGCATAATTTTATTATCTTTTCTAAATATTTATTTATAATCATAAAAGAAATTTTTTCTAAAGCACACAAATTATGATTTCTGAATACTAAAAATCCAACGCAGAAAGTAGAAAACAATATTTTTATTAGTGTAATGAGAACTTTTCTCTAATTTTGTCTTTTTTCGTGGGCACTGGAACACAATCACATATTTCAAATTATGGTCAAAAGATGGTGATAATTAATTCTGCAATAATTCCAACCACGTCGTGTTTCAGCTTCTCGGAAAGATCTTCGTAAATTCGATATGATGCAGTTTTTTACTAATATTTTTCTACTTTAATTCTAACAATAACATATTCTGGTTTTTACTAAAGACCGCTAAAAAAATGTTAGCGTAACACACTTGAAATTACGAGTAAGTATTGTATACATATTTATTAATATTTTGATTTATTCAAATTCTAAAAATAACTTTGCAAAGGAAAATTTAACATTATTTTTGGAGTGAAAGGTCAAAAAAAAATAGCAATAGACTCAAATAGTAAACAGAGTGAAAGTCACAACAATAGAAAATACGAAAATGAATCAACAAGGGAAGTGGGAGTTGGGAATCTCAAATTGTGAAACCGACGTTTTCGCAAAGTGTGTTCAAAATCCTAGTCGTAAAAAGCAGCAGTTTCATGGTCATACATGACCATATTTTCTATCCTATTATATTAAATCAATCGTTTTTTTTTATTTAGCCTCAAATACACTAAACTAAAGTTGAAACGAAATTTGGACAGTTATTTGCAGAAACTTTTTCGCTTTGGAGCATAATGAATGGCGTCATCAAATTTGTCACTAACATAAACATATTAATTGTTATAAGTGCAATGTAAGAGTAATCATAGAGTAAGTTGCGATCCCAGAATTTCCAGGAAATTGAATGACTCAAATTTGGTTTAATGTTTTGTAGCGATCTGGCATTATTTAATAGAAAGCTGACTATTCTGACAGTGTCAATAATGTTGCTTGTCCATACATTATCTCGACGATTTATCAACCTTGTTTTCGTATCTCTCATGTAATAGAGAATATGCCCAATAACAATGTCCCAATCTCTATGGGACACTTGTATATTAATTGTAGTTGTAATTTTGGAATAGTCACCATTTACAAAATAAAGAAAATGGGTTTTATCAATCTTTATAGACCTGACTTGCATATTGAATTATTCTACCCTTCTTACACGCTTCTATTTTTCCAGAAACGGCTCGCGCCTCAGCAGCGCCCGTGCGTTCCTCCGCCCGGCTCGCTACCGCCCCAACCTGCACATAATGTTGAACTCCACCGCCACCAAAATTCTTATCAACCCCAGCGGCAACCAGAAGACCGTCAGTGGCGTCGAGTTCCTGTACAACAACAAACTCCACACCGTCCGAGTAAAACGCGAAGTCGTCCTCGCAGCCGGCGCCGTCAACTCTCCCCAGATCCTCCTCCTCTCTGGCATCGGCCCCAAAGCCGAGCTCGACAAGGTCAAGATTCCCCAGGTACACGAGCTGCCAGGCGTGGGCAAGAATCTCCACAACCACGTCACGTTCTACCTCACCTACCAAATGAACAAGGAAAAGGCCGTCAACGACCTCGACTGGGCCACCGCCCTCGACTACATCCTCAACAGGAGAGGCCCAATGTCGTCCACCGGGATGTCGCAGGTGACGGCGAGGATCAACTCAAAGTACGCGGATCCCTCGGGAGTACACCCTGACCTGCAGATTTTCTTCGCTGGGTATCTGGCGAATTGCGCTCGATCGGGGGAGGTGCGAGAGGCGAAGGATCCCGAAAAGCCAGACGCTCCCAGGCACTTGACTATCTCGCCGGTGGTGTTGCATCCCAAGAGCAGGGGCTATGTGGGACTGAAGTCGAAAAATCCGTTGGATCCGCCGCTCATGTACGCTAACTATTTGAATGAATCGGAGGACATCGCGACGCTCGTTGAGGGGATAAGGGTTACACAGAGGCTGGCGAATACGAGGGTCCTGAAGGAGAAGTACGGACTGGAGTTGGAGAAGGAGGAGTATGGGGATTGCGGCACGAGATATGCGTAAGTGTGGGGATTTTATTGTAGCCAGGGTTGGGACCAAGGGGTTGTAAATGCATGGAAGGAAATAATGAAATACGCGCTCTTTCTGAAAAATTAGTTCTAAAAAGACGCCGACGCGACGGTAAGGTTTATAGTGGCAATTTACATATTCTTTTGGCTAACTCAATGATGTTGTTAACGCCGTAGACAAGAAATCATCATATTTTTAGAGCATGTCGTTAGCGGGTTCATATTTTTATTTTAATTTTTGCTTATGCTTAATAATAATAATAATAATTGATTGGTGTTGATATTACAAATGTGCTTGCAGATCCATAAAATATGAGTACAGGTCATTACGCATTAAGCAGTCTTTATCACTAAAGGAGTCGTTTAAGAAGTAATAGGTTTTCTGCGCGACAACTTCTTTTCAATTTTATTAACGCGATGTTTTGAAATGAGGCATATGCTTAGTTTACTATAAATAGTTCCAGTCTAAGATTGAGTTGAACTAAAGTTCATGACGTCATCCACCTTTAAGTCCTGATTTGACACTCATCTCATTGTTTTTAATGAAATGCTGTAGTTTCTGTTTTAGTTTTGAATAGCACTCGTAAGGACTTTTATAACAAATCCTACATGAGATCTTTATCTTCAATAGTGTTTGAAGTACTAACACTTTATCTAACTATATCTGACATAAAGTCGTTAAAAGTCAAAGCAGTTTACACATTTTTAGAAGTTCCTGAATATCAGAACATTAATAAGAGTGTCTTATTACAGATACGACTCTGACGACTTCTGGCAATGCGCCGCCCGCTATTACACCGGTCCAGAAAACCACCAAGCCGGCTCTTGCAAAATGGGTCCTTCCTCAGATCCCATGGCCGTGGTGGACCCCGAGCTCAGGGTCTACGGCATCGAAGGCCTCAGAATAATGGACGCATCAGTAATGCCGGTTCTAGTTTCTGGTAATACTCACGCCACTGTTGTCATGATTGCTGAGAAGGGTGTGGACCTAATCAAACAGAAATGGTTGGGTGGAAATACGTTAGCTAACAGATTTGGTAGTGGTAGTGCAGGAAGTGACAACCAAAACAGAAACACTGGGACTCAAGGGGGTTATGGTGGTGGTCACCAGTATCCCCATCACCACTACTACCACAATAATCAGCAACATGGGGCTATGGGCTCAGGGTTCCAGCATAGCGAGCAGTTTCACAAAACCCATCCGTATATGCCTAATCCGTTTGTGACGCAAAGACCACAGAGAACTTACAACCAACAGACTGCCTCTGGCTACCCGCAGAATTATCAGGGATATCAGCAGGGTTATCAGGGAGCTTACCAGGGAGGTCAGCAGAGTTCTGGTGGACACTATCAGAATAATGCCAGGAAGGGTCAGAGTTATTCAGGGTATCAGAGCGATCAGGGCTACTCTAATGACGGTAGTTACGATTATAATGGATAATGAGGTCGTTGTTGCGATGAAATGTACTTTGGGATTTAGTTATAGCTTAAGAACGTGATTTAATTGTTCAGTGTTTGTGTCACTAGATGCAAATTTGTATTTGCTGAGTATAGAACAACATGTGTTTTTTAATGTAGGTAATTAAAGTTTTCTCCACACGTTGCACTGTGGACTACTAAAATCTATAAGTTTGTTAAATATGACGAAAATATTACCTTTGTGATATGTTTTAGTAGGTATTCAGTTAGAGCAAAGTATTTGCTAAGGATTGACAGCACTTTGTTTTAACTTTTGCTAGAATTTATTGTGAAGTACAATATAAAAGGATAAATCGATTGAAGTACAGATTTCTATCCTTTACGATTAAAATACTCCATAGAATTATGATAGCTTGATTTTCGCCTTCCATATCCAACTTTATAAAAAAAAATCTAAGACAGACAGTATTTTGTATGTATGGGTAACAGATCTAAGAATGCAAGAAGCTGAACATTGATACTTTAGATTTTTACCTTTGTTCATTAAATGTAACAATTCTGCTTGAGTTATTCGGTATTGTTAAATTATTTCAATTCTCATAATTATAAATTATTTTCTCTGACACTACCTACGTAAGGAAGAAAAAAATACTAGTTCGAAATATCGTTTCAATCTTAGGATTTTGTATACAACATAGCCGGAATTGGACTAATTGGAGTTACATCGTGTATATGTAATTTAATTAGACACTAGTAGGTGATAATAATTTAAATGTTAACAATGTTTTAATTGAACAAAAATGCAAATAAATATATTTTTCGAATTAAATATTTTGTTCATTATTTCTTTATTTAGTGAGAAGGCCGTGTATTTTAAATATTTACTTTTATTTAGTTAATTATAAATGTTTTCTACTTTATCACTCTTAATACAAAACTTTCTACCATGATTTCCATCCCCTAGTTACGTGTTAATTGTTACATTTTTGTTGAAAAAAATTATAACTAAGTTACTTATAATGTTTCATAAAGCTTTCTTGTGCCTCCTTTGAAACAATAAAATATATGTACCTAAAGAGGCTTTTTTTTCAATGTTTCTCTTTTATTTTCACTAGCAACAATATCAGCGATGTTAACAAGCTTGTATTGTATTTTAATTTAAAGCAAAATGCTTTATGTTGAAATTATGGTCCAAAATATAAATAGTTGTCTGTATTTGAAATTTAGAAAAAATATATACCGGATGTCCCAAGTTATTCGTTCTGACATTTCAGAAATTTTAAAGTTAAAAATTTTTAGTTAACACAAACAAAATTTGTAACATGAGGGCACTCTTTTTTGTTTCCGGAAATAACATTGGCTGTTTATTTTTAATAAAAAAAAAATCTATTTTTTGCACAAAATACTTTTCAGTAGTGTAGACTTAATATCTTATTCATTTGGTAATATGTTTTAAACATTTTTGAAATTGTGACGTCCTAAGTTATTTACTGTCTGTTCTGTTATGGGTTAAACTACGAAGGAATCAGAAACACCGCTGATTAAAAGTCCGATACCGTTCCTCCCCTTAAATTCGCAAATGAACCCGTCCGGATGTGTTTACGTCTACTGTGACATTGTATTAGTGTCTTCTCAAAGTAATCGACTTCGAGTTGCCGCCCCTAACATTGTCTTGCAATAAAGTTCGAACTATAGCTTACGTCAATTAAAAAAAAAAGCTATGCATTAATATAGGTATATTTTTTTAAGTTCGAAACTTCAGCTTACAACTACATGTTCAACTGGACCATTTTTTTTAAATCACAACTACGTGATAGGACAACTCATTTTTGTTGAAGGAGTTCATTATGCTTTGTCCAGGTGACATGTGATCAATGATAAAATACAATTTTTTCTCGTAATTTGTGATATAGAAAAAAATTTTAAGAGAAAAATATGCATCCTATAAAAATAGTATTCAAAATGCTGTAAAGTAATCGAAAATACTATTTTTTATTAAAAGCGCGGAGGTCAGAGAATGAAGTCTATCATAATATGCTACTTTGTTTTTGTATAGAACTCAACTTCTTAGTAAACTTAGTTGTAATAGCAAAATGATGTTTCTTTACTATACCATCGGATGAGCAGAATTTTATATTTTTAACCTAATTGTTATTCTAAATATATTTTTTCAGATGCACATGTTACATATGAAGCAGCTTTGAAGAAATTTTAAACGAAATCATATTTTATTATTTTTTACAATTTAGCATTAAAAATTATAGAACAATTTTTCGAAATAACGTAGTATAACTTGAAAAATAAACGTGTAAATACATGCAATTATCAATAAGAACAAGAATCTTTATATTTTACTGAACACTAAATATATAAAGTAACTACAAGTATATATTTAGAACGTCTCACAGTGATATGTGTGTACGTTTTCCAAAACTGTCAAATTTTGACAGCTGTAAGACGACCGATGAGTCTAAGGCACGCATCAAAAGCCTCCTGCGCCTAAAATATTTGTTGAAAGATATTTCATACAACACTAAATTGCTGAAGTGTTTAATTAGTTACACATCATTAGAGAAAATTACCGGAAAGATCGAGTCAGTATCTATTTCGTGCATTTTGAAATTTTTATTGCCTGCTAAAAAAAGCACAGTTTGCGCTTGCATTATAGCTAATCATTGCAAATTCTTTCTCCATTCCGGACGTCAAATCATTTGAAATATTTAAATTAGCGTTAACTATTCACAGGCAAAGGTTACAATTTCGAAAATCACATTCCGATAGACAAATGAAAAAATTTTTGTCACGTTCAATAAAAGTACATGACGCTGAAAATCGAACAGGGATTTAAACTGGATTATAATTCGGTGTTCAAATCAACTGAACAGTAAATTATGACGGACAGCGTATAATTAGATCAACAGGCGAAATTCCTATATATAGAGCCTTCATTTAGCTAAAATAGATCGTTATTATACAGTTGTCAATTTGACGAGTAAATAAATAAAGTGCTGATAGCAGCGTCCATCGGTGTTTAATAATAATTATTGGAAATAAGCTGACTCTGGCCCTTATTTAGTGGAAAAATTAAGAGAAATAAAGAAAGTGTGTTAGTGGCCGGCGAGGTGATTAAAATAGATAATAAATGAGTGTGTTAATTTCACAAAAGAAAACAAAAGCGAATTGACTGTTCATTCAGTATTTGTGAATGAATAGTGTAAAAATAAATCGGAATTTCAAAAATAGAGATCATTTATTGCGTAGACTCATTAGCTGTCTGTAGTATTGCAAGTAAATAAATATATTTCACAGAGTATTTTTTTTTTCTTTAAAAAAATGTATCTGCTACAAAATTAGCGTTATCATACGTGCATACATGTGTGTAGAATACATCAAATGTATAAAAATATGTTTTTCTCGTATTTCCACTCCACTCCTGTCATTAATTAAGCAAACGAGAGACATGTATAATTGACAGCTTGTTTACTTTTCTGAGTCGCCGTGCGCTTTAGTTATTAAAAAATTGCAAGTGATAGTTCGGATACGGTGCCAGAATATTAAAAATATCCACACATTTTTATGATTGGGTGGAGAATTTCAGGTATTATTAAAACCGACACGACGAATACTAACATCTGCTATTAATTCCAGAAAGTCCAGTCTAAAAATTTAATTACAGCCACCACTTTTATTCGCTGTTTCCACAGAACAATTCCAAGAATTTGAGGTAATAATAGTAGCATTGCGGCTTTATTGCACGGGATGTCCTCATGTGGCTTAGAAAATGTGCACCAGAGTTTTATTTTTTTCGAAAATAAAGCGATCCGACCCAGAATAGTTTTCCGATTTCGTAAAAATTTGTCAAATTATTTGCAGCCACCTACAAATAACCAAATCTTAAAATACTGCGACAGGCAGTATTAGGAAGTATTAAAATAGACCATGGTGTGTACACAGCATGAGGCTGAAAGGCACTCATTCAGATGAAGACATTTAACATTTAACACGAAATGGTCCGGGCGTTCGTGGAGGATGAAAATTCGCAAAAATTTTCTGCTATCCTTGATAGTGTGTGCTGTCTCTATGGATATTTTTGTGTGTAGGAGTGCCACCACCATCAAAATTGGTAAGTGTGATCGGCTAGGTTATTATTGGCTTGACCAATGTATCCATTTTGATGTGATTGATTTGCGGGTAAAACCAAAGGGTTTAGGTACATAAAGTTTCATTATTACTTTTTTTGCAAGTTTAAGTTTATTGTGCGTGTATGTAGTGGCTTAAATTTTATTCTGATTAAGCCAATAACTGCCAAGCGAGAATACTTACGACGTAATAAAAATCGTCAGTTAGATTTGGAATTCTTTATTATAACCTTTAGTTGCTTAATTCAATCGTGTTTAAAATATGGTACATTAACTGCTGATAAAAGAGAGTCTATACACCTAGAATTTGTGTCTGTATATTTTTAGTCATTTTAGTGTGTTACATGGGTGCGAAATTGGTAAATTAAGCTAGTATTAATAAATAACATAACGATCATTTTCAAAATATAATTTTTGGCCGAATAAAATGTTAATTTTTAACATATTAAGCTTGTACTAAAGTTTAATGCAATTTGTCTATTGGTTTCTAAAATAAACTGTAAAATCTTAAATATTTTTATCAAAGATCTACAGCTGGCCTAAAGAAACGTCTACATTTTTCCTAATAAGTATGTCGTTTTTACCTTAAACTATATGAAATATATACAAGGAGAAACAAGTTCTAATAGATATTTTTTACCCTCTACAAAAATTGTTGATTTATGTATTTTCACTACATTCAGACGTTTTCTAACCAAAAATTGTTTTCGAAATTTAATTTTAAAATAATTTGGATATATTCGCTGTAAACCATAACTGGACTTCGTAAAAAAAACAAAAAAGTACCATTTTCTGTTTACTGTGAGCACGGAACATCATATCGATAATAATTCTCTAATTCTAGATTGCTATTACATTAACAAATCCTCTGACTTAAAATCTAATTTATTGTATTGAAATATGCTACAAGCGGTGATCAAGGATAAAAAAATAACCCAGAGTCTATTTCAGTGTCTAACTTTCAACAAAAATGTCCAAAATATGTACAAAAATATATATATTTTTTATTTGTCATTTGGACGGCAGTATTTCTTACTGAATAATATTTTCGAAATTTAAAATAAATCAACCATGCGTCACGATTCAAGTTAATTTTTTTCGTCCTAAAAAAAGTCGCCACACCTGTACGTATTATATATTTGCTTTTGAGATTTATGTCTACTATTTTCTGTAATAATAGTATAATTTTTGGCATTGATCCCAAACATATGTACCACAAAAAAATAAAGCAAAAACGATCAATTTGAATGCTTTTTGGTGCAAAATTTTGCTGTACGTAAGTGAAAAATATAACACAAATACATAATCAAAAAGATTTTTTTTGCATTCAAATCGTTGAAAGCATGATATTTATAGAAATTTTTGTCAGATTAATTGTATTTCTTCTAGTAGACTTTGAAATTTATTTTTAAAACAATTGAGGTTGTCCGTACTATTGATGTAGGTAATCATAATTTGAATGAATGAGGTCATGTTATGTCTAAAATTTATTTAGTAAGAAAAGACAAACATAACTACATAACAATATAACAAGTGTTCAATATGTTGCCCTTCAGTTTGAATACAAGGGCCAATTCGTCGTTTAATATTATAAGACATTCCACAGCTGTTGGAGAGTAATTGACAAGCGTTCTGGATAGCTGGTATGAGTTCGAAAACTAGGTGAATGGAATTTTTGAAAATCGTATTTTTTAGGTGTGGAAAAATGAAATATGGTCAAATCGGGTTATCGGTAGTTCAGTAGTTTTCATAATCACAAACAGACACGGAAGGATGAAATTTAACATTTTAAGATTTCGCTTAGATATCACGAGTTAAAACGAAAAAATGACGACTAAGTTTCAAAATTGTCAAATTAATACTAATGTATCATAAATGTTTTAAATAACTTTACACTTATATGAGAACGACATGTTGTCTTGAAAGAAAATTGTTTTGTTGTTTCATATTGTTTTTCAGATTTTTAACTTGTCGATTATAAATCCAACAGTTTCTTTTTTTATCAACTCGTGACATTATGTTAATTCAAAGAGTAATTTGTATGTTCAAAATTAAGACATTTCAATTTACTACAGTTGTATTTTAGTAATGAAAATGGTGTATTCTTTGGAACAAAACACATTTACTGTGAAGTCTTATTATTATAATGGAACATTTCAGAATAGTGAATGAATCTACTCAATGTAAGCGTACAGAAACGAGTACGTTAAAAGATTTCCAGAAATTGAAATTCAGGAGGCTTCGTCATTTAATCAGATTTGGAATATAATTAATACGTACATTCATCAGAAATGGTGTAATTTCAGATGGATCAACGGGAAGGTCTCCAGTGTTAAAGTACATTGTAGATCATTTGAGACAATAACTTGAACAAACCACTCAAACAACTCGGTCAAAATTATCTTTGAGAACTGATGTACCGTTAAACACAAGCCAGAAACTTATTAAAAAGAAGCTAGACATACATTTATAGAAAACTACCATACCATTGTCGATCAACTTTTATCTGCAGATATCTCTTGTTGCCTTGCAGTTTGTAAAATAAGCTCAATGCTATCTGAATAATATTCTATCTAACATTTTTCGGTGGTGAAATTGTGTTCCTTTTATCCGGGTATGTTAATTCGCAAAATTTGAGAATCTGGAGTGGATTAAAAGCCTACAAATTTTCTTGAGAGCATGATACATTCCCAGAAAGCTGTAGTAGGATTACTATTATACTATTATAGTAGGTACTTGACCCATAACTTCCACCACATTCCCCTCTTTTCATGGCATTAGAATTGTATTTAAAGATTAGGTATGTTTTATGTTAACTTAACTAAAGGATACAATATATGATTCTAAGCGAATAGGTACAATGTTTGTTCTTTTGCATGAACAAAATTAACAACTTTCAAGTTAACATTTTGTAATTTTATGCAACCAATTAAACACTTGTAGCAATAAATTAGACATTACACGATGTATAATAAATCAATATCCATTTAGATGTATGAATCATTTTTGAAAGCCCTGTACACGAATAACTATAAAAGTAAACTTTCCTGTTAACATATCAAAACACTTAGTACAAAAGATGATGATCAGCTTTATTATTGCCCGAAATTACAAACATGCCGTAAAAATATGTAACATAGCTAAAACTGGTTCCAAATTTATTCACCCTTCCAGAACAGTGGATTGTTCAGGTGGCAGTTACCACAGCCCAGAAGAGTACCCTCCTGGAGGAATTCGAGTGCGTCGAGGTGTCGGTTTTGGCTCTTTCTTGACCTCTTCCTTGACCCCCTCATTTTCGGTAGCTGTTTCTTTTTCGTGTGACTCCTTCGATTCAGGGGTTTCGGTGGAGGTGATGTTTTGCTTCGAGCTGTCTTTGGCGACAGTTTCACAGGCTGTGGGCTCTTCTGGTTCTGTTGGAAAAGCTAAAATGTTGGTATAGCCGCCACCAGGAGGTCTTAGTACCCTACTTGAGTTCCGGGTGTCAGAGATGCCAGTGAAAATATCAGTGGAAGTCATTTTTGCGAGGAAACTGATGTGAAGGTGGCTTTCCTGGAATTTGATGAATAATGCGAAAATTTTATTGAAACTGTCAATTTGTTGATGTTTTTGTTTCCATGTGTGTTGGGATCTATACAGATATATGTGGTGCATGTTTTTAATTTTTTAACCCCCGACGCAAAAAAGGTGCATTATAACTATGATCACTTTGTCTGCGTAGGTCTGTGTCTGTGGCAGCGTAGCTCTCAAATGGATGAACCGATTTCAATGCGGTTTTTTTTTGTTTGAAAGCTGATTTGATCGGGAAGGTCCTTGCAAGAGTCGTTTGATGAATAACTTGGTTCTTCGAGGATGAAAGACAAAAAAGTATTAACTGCATATGTAGATGGAACGGTAACTTAAAACAACAGTAGTAGTGAATGAGAATTGTAAAAGACAGACAAGAGCGGAGGCGTCGTGGGAGGGCATATGTCCAAACATGGAATATTTAAGCTGAAAAGAAGAAGAAGTTTCAAACAACAAGTCTGCAATTATTACCTCAAAAAAGATTTCAAAACAGTTATGACAACTGTAGATGGATACTGAATCCTTTTTTAGAGAATTCTTTTCAACATGCTGAAAGTCGAACAAACAAAAAGGAATAACTTATTGAAACATCTAATGCTGCAATGTTGAAATTAGATTTTTTTTTAGAACTTTGGATAAGTTCTGGGGGGTAAATTCATGCAAGTATATCCCCAATTCGTGAACGAAGTAGTCGGTTCCAATTGCAACAACACATTTAAAGTATGAGTAAATTTTTTCGTCCGAAAACAAAAGTGAGAAATCGCTTCCAAATTGAAAATGATATCACTGTGTGCATTAAATACAGCGATTTGCGATTTATTTTTTGTTTAAAAATGTTAGTGATTGCGTTTATATTCCGCAAGATGGAAGTAGTAATATTGATGTTTCTGGATATGCAATAAACTTACTAAGTTAGTTAAGTCTTAAGGCTATTTTTATATAAATATTTCTTTATTTACGTACAAAAGATAAAAATAAATGTCTTGGTGGCGTTTTCTTTTTTATTTTCGAAATCGTTTCACGATCCCCCTTTTCTTTAACCACCTACACTTTGGGGATCGCTATTCGATGCAAATGATTTATGATATTATTTTTTCAATATAACATTGCAGGTGCCCTTTTCGATGCCCCCGACCCCTACAAAGAGCGAGCTTTCGCCTTGGTCATCAAAGAGCTCAACTCCAGACATGTGCACAGCACGTATAAAATCCAAGCAGTTGTGGAACATCTAAACGGCGACGATCCTCTGGAGGCAATGACAGCAACTTGCTCATTAATGAAACAAGGCGTTGCCGGCATTTTAGGGCCAACTTTGGAGCACAACTTCAGAACAGTGCAATCGATTTGTGACGATAAGGACATCCCCTATTTAGATGTAAGATGGGCTGATGATCCCGGAACCCCCACAATTAATTTTTACCCATCTCAAAGCGCGCTGACACGACTCTACGTAGATGTTATCGCAGCTTGGGGCTTCGGAGACTTCGTCGTTTTATACGACAATGCACAGAGCCTCAGACGAATCATGAGCTTTCTCGAGACGTACGACGAGAAACATAAAATCGTGTTGCGCCAGCTAGACCAGCCCGACAGCGGAGATTACAGGTAATTTCGTTGCAGTTTTGCATTGCCACGTGTTATTAACTCAACATTAAGGCCGGTTCTGAAAGAAGTGAAAAAGACCGGGGTGATGCAAATGGTCTTGGACTGTTCGGTGGGGATTTTGCGGGAGGTTTTGATACAGGCGCAGCAAGTGGGCCTGATGTCGGATAAGCACACGTTTTTTATCACCAATCTGGATTTGCACACGCTGGATCTGGTGCCGTTTCAGTACGGAGGAACCAACATTACTGGGGTGAGAAATCCTTTAAAACGTTTTTTTCTATTTGATAGGGTTAAATGATGCTTTAGTTCTATAGATAAAAAATGCGGATTATGTAAGACCGGTTGGTCTTGGAAATATTTCATCTTTTAAAACTTAATTAAATGCGACTGTCTTTTTAAAACTTGTGTCCATAATTTTGTGAAATGTCAAGAAGTGTGTTTAACTCGTGATTGTGACGGTAATATATTTATATCACATTTCATTTGAAAATATCAATTAATAACTAACAAAACTCACTGACGGATACTATATGTTCACAATTTCGTACCTATTACATTGTGCATTTATAGAAGTTGATGTGTTTTTGTTTCAATAGAAACAGGACTTTTCTTGCTTTCATATTTTTCGATCAAGATAAAACATTTTTCCGTACATTAAAATGATATATGTTCATGTTTCGTAGCACTAATTGCCTAAACCATTTGTGGAATTATATAGGGCTTCCGTAAATATTCCATATATTCCAGTGAACCCTGATTTACTTCTTCTCTTTCGAACTTGTAACTGCCTATTTTGTTGTTGCTAATTATTTATTTAAGTGCTTGCATCACCTCGAGCATATTAAGCTGTAAACTGAGAGTTTTATTCATTCAAACGAAAAAAAGTACATATTTTTGAAGCGAAAAATTCTTTGTTTAAGTTATCCATATTATAAAAAATATTTATACAGGAATAGCACTGCAAAAAATGTTGACTCTTGTTTTTTATTAATTTTGTCATAAAAGTGTTTCAAATGTGTCAAAGGTAAACCTGCTAAGTATTCTGTTGTTCCATCTTGTTGGTAGTAGGTAGTAACCCAAACGAAGCTCTTCATCATACAAAAAACCTGGCCTGTATCGTTCCCCAGTGATGATGAATATCTCAAAAACACAACGAAACAACAAACAATTTTACTCTAAAACAAAAAAATTGGTCTAAAGAGTTTAGACAGTACTTCCCTCGCTGTCGGAAACTTGACGACTGCATGCCTATTATGTTTTTTTTTCTCATTACATTTTTGTAGTGGGAATTTAAAAAAAAAATGTGATGACGTCATCAACATTTTTGCAAGGACACGTATATCAGTTGGGATAGATGTAGTGTAATACTAAGAATAAAATTATTGTGTTCCCAAATTTTCGGGAAAATGAATTGGGTCGTTTTGAATATTGATTTCTTATAATCAATAAAATAACGAAACAATTTACTCACGTATACGGCGCCGGTGTGTAATATCTAGAGAGCGGATTTCTGTCGGGCTAGGCAAGGCCAAACTCGGTACGGCTCGCACGGGATGCGAATTCATTGCCGTTGCGGACTGCACTTCGTTTATTTGAGATTAGAATAACGTTGTTTCGTTGCACTCTGCTGTTAATTCCCGTTCTCATTTACTTAGCCGTTTGATTAATAAATCGTTAATTATATTTATGGAATCCAGCACGTCCCCCCCTATAATCGAGACGTAGCCCGACAGAAATCCGCTGTCTAGTAATATGAGGGTCAACTGAAAATCGTTTATGTATAAACATTCTTAATTTATGACAAGCGTAACAGCATACGTAAGAGCCAAACAGAGAAACTGTAAACAAAACGACCATCGGTTTTATTGCTTCGACTTCCGCTTATTATATAAAACATTGCGTTTTATTTTAATTCTTGACGGTGAAATTCACAATTGGTTGATTATAAACATGTCTATTTCGCATTCGCGGAACCAAGTGACCGCATAAAACAAATGCAGGTCTGTAATGTTAAAGTCGATGTAAATAAGCGTGCTACTCTTATGTTTCAACCGAGTTTTTCCTTTAACAAATTTTGTGTCTACCAAATTGGGTTGGTTGGGGTGTAATACTAATAATAAGTGTTGCCTTTAATTTAATCAATAAAATAAATTGACTTCATTAATTTTTTTGAACCACCTCTTAAGAAAATCTAAAAAATATGAATGGAATGATAAATCACAAGTACAAACTCATCATATTTTTTGCATTTTAGATAGGATTTATTCAGCAAAATTTAAGGGTGACGTCATCAATTTTTTTAGGAGGGATGAACAAATACATTTTGAACAAAAGTTTACCATGCTTATAATAACTTTAAAATATTCCCAAGATTTCAAAGCATTCGGTTTTGTAATTCCTGATTAAATCGATAAAATAAATTCACGCCTTCATTAATTTTTTTGAGTCACCCTGCATATGCAAATCCAAAAATATGAATGGAATGATAAATCACAAGTACAGACTCATCATATTTTGTACATTTTAGATACGATTTATTCGGCAAACTTTTGAGCTGACGTCATCAGTTTTTTGTAGAAGATAACCAAATATATTTTGACTAAAAATTTATTATGCTCTTTATAACCTTACAACATCTGCAAGATTTCAAAGCATTCGGTTTTGTAGTTCCTGATTAAATCAATAAAATAAATTTACGCATTCATTAATTTTTTTGAGTCACCCTGTATATGCAAATCGAAAAAATTTGAATGGAATGATAAATCACAAGAAGAGACTCACCATATTTTGTACATTTTAGATAGGATTTATTCAGCAAAATTTTGTGGTGACATCATAATTTTTTTAGGGGGGACGACCAAATACGTTTTGATCAAAAATTTACCTTGCTTATGATAATTTTAAAATATCTTCAAGATTTCGAAGCATTCGGTTTTGTAGTTCCTGAGTAAATCAGTAAAATAAATTTACGCTTTCATTTATTTTCTTGAATCACCCTGTATATGCAAATCCAAAAAATATGAATGGAGTGATAGATCACAAGTACAGACTGATCATATTTTGTACATTTTAGATATGATTTATTCGGCAAATTTTCGAGCTGACGTCATCAAGTTTTTGGAGGGGATAAGCAAATATATTTTGACTAAACATTTATTATGCTCTTTATGACCTTAAAACATCTGCAAGATTTCAGAGCATTCGGTTTTGTAGCTCCTGATTAAATCAATAAAATATATTTACGCATTCATTAATTTTTTTGAGTCACCCTGTATATGCAAATCCAAAAAATATGAATGGAGTGATAGATCACAAGTACAGACTCATCATATTTTGTACATTTTAGATATGATTTATTCCACAAACTTTTGAGCTGACGTCATCAAGTTTTTGGAGGGGATAAGCAAATATTTTTTGACTAAAGATTTATGATGCTCTTTATAGCCTTAAAACATCTGCAAGATTTCAGAGCATTCGGTTTTGTAGTTCCTGATTAAATCAATAAAATATATTTACGCATTCATTAATTTTTTTGAGTCACCCTGTATATGCAAATCCAAAAAATATGAATGGAGTGATAGATCACAAGTACAGACTCATCATATTTTGTACATTTTAGATATGATTTATTCCACAAACTTTTGATCTGACGTCATCAAGTTTTTGGAGGGGATAAGCAAATATTTTTTGACTAAAGATTTATGATGCTCTTTATAGCCTTAAAACATCTGCAACATTTCAAAGCATTCTGGTTAGCAGATTAAAAATTAAATTTCCAAATATTGTTTTATAATTTTGATTTTTTTTCCAAAAATCTGGACGTTTCGGGTGAAAAGTCGATTCAGAGTTGTAAACTACATGTGTAGGACTATGTTATTTTATACAATTGAAAACCCATTTACTATGTACAATTTTGAAGTGACGTCATCGCATTAGTGGTGGGGATGATTAGACAAATTTTGGTTAGCGTTTTACCATCTACATGATATTCTTAATATAAGTACAAAATTTCACAACAATCGGTCGAGTACTTTCGGAGATTATCTGTCTAATAAAAATCCGGGACAACAGACGGACAGACGGACGGACAGACGGACAGACGGACAGACGGACAGACGGACGGACAGACGGACAGACGGACAGACGGACGGACAGACGGACAGACGGACAGACAGACGGAAATGGGAGACCCATTTCTTCGTCTTCTAGGGGTCATGAAAGATCGAGAAAACGTAAAAGTAGAGAGTCGGCCGACGGACTCGATTACAATACTTCCTTTGCTTACGCTCGGGAAGTAAAAACAGATTTGAATGTTCAAAAGTAATACTTTTACCGACATATGACATATCAAATGCTCTACAAATCATTTATGAAAGCCTTATAGAATAATACCCTTTTGTAATTAAAACTATGAATTATTAAAAATATTGCGACGACCATATTTTATTAAGTAACGGTACAGTACAGCTGAAGTTCTGTTATTTATTTTCTAGATTCGCATGTTTGATCCACAATCTCCATCAATTCAAACGCTCAGTCGTGGTATTTTTGCTGATGAAATACAAAAAGATCCCGTTTTTGCTATGCTTGCTCCCTACCGACTACCCCTAGATGTAGTTCTAGTAATAGACGCAACAGAAGCATTCGTCGAGACTTTGAAAGAAATTCCTGATGTTGCTATACCCATAGACTGCCTGGACAGCGAAAGATGGCTTTCTGGTTTAACAATCACAAATATATTGAAAGGAGTAAGAATTAGATCGACAACAAATTACATACAAGCAGTTTGTTTTTCAGAAGCAGTTTTCCGGTCTCAGTGGAAAAATATCTTTCGATAGTAAAGGCTACAGAAATAAGTTTGCTATTGACATTTTTGAACTGAAGGAAGGAGGAATAACCAAAGCAGCAAACTGGAGCGACGAACGATCAGTCCAAAAAATGATGATTACTCGTCCTCCTCAAATCGAAGAAGAAGATACCCGAAAAACGTTGAAGGATACTTCGTTTCGTGTCCTTATTAGTTTGGTTCGTATGAACGAAAACACTGACAATTTACTAATTATTAGTACAGGTAGAACCATTTGCAAGGTACAAAAAAGTGAGTAGCGTGTCGTCATCGAGGAATGATGAATACGAAGGATACGCCATAGACTTGATTCATGAGTTGTCATTGATTGAAGGGTTTAATTACACTTTCCTTATCCAAGTTGATAAAAAAAATGGGGAGTTTAATCCTGCTAAAGAAGAGTGGGTAGGCATGATAGGTGCTATAATAGCAAACGTAAGTGAAAACATTCAGTGGATGAAGTATACTAATTTTTAATATTTTCAGAAGGCAGACTTGGCTATTGCAGACTTAACCATAACATCAAGTAGACAAAAAGCGGTAGATTTTACAACGCCGTTTATGAACTTGGGTGATTTGTCATAAGTGTGTTTAACTAAATTTTGAACCATCCAATTTTCAGGAATAAGTATTCTCTATCAAAAACCGAGAAAAGCCCCACCCAGCTTTTTCTCATTTGCAGACCCATTCGCGTTAGAAATTTGGAGACTTTTAGCTCTCGCTTACTTCTCAGTTTCATTGGTGCTATTTGTTCTTGGAAGAATATGTGCTTCAGAGTGGACAAATCCTTACCCTTGCATCGAAGAGCCCGAATTTTTGGTCAACCAACTGAGTTTACGGAATTGCTTTTGGTTTGTGTCTGGAAGTATTATGCAACAAGGAACAGAAATTGGCCCCTTGTATGAAAATTTAGGATTAAGTGAAGAAACATTTTACGAATATTGTTTTCAGAGCTTTATCCACACGGCTAGTAGCGGGAATTTGGTGGTTCTTTACACTCATTATGGTTTCGTCATATACTGCAAACTTAGCTGTTTTTCTGACAAGAGAGACCCCCATACCTCATTTTAATGATGTCTTCGAATTAGTACAAAACGCAGAGGCTAAAAATATTAAATGGGGTGCGAAAAAAAGCGGTTCCACGGTGGATTTCTTCAATGTAAATAGTATAGAGTATAGTAAACTGCAGTATGTATTTGTTATTTTGGAATTTTAGGCTTCGAGAGACCGGTTCGCAGAATATGGTCAAATTTATGACTACATGATGGCACATGCTGATGATGTACTGGTGGAAGATCCCACTCAAGGTGTAGAGAGAGCAGAACGCGAAAACTATGCTTTCTTCATGGAAATAACATCAATAGAATATGAGATTCAAAGACGATGTAATTTAACAGGTGTCGGAAGGTTACTCGATGAAAAGAGCTATGGAATAGCAATGAGAAAAAGTACTCGCCTTTATTTTTGTATCAAAGAGTGTTAAATGTTTTTTTTGTTTTAGACTCAACATACAGAAACGTCTTAAGTCGAGCGATTCTGCGGCTACAACATTCCGGAAAACTGACGGAGTTGCAGAGAAAGTGGTGGGAAGAGAAACGTGGTGGGGGTTTCTGTGAAGTACGTAATCATATGTTGTATTCTTTTATATTCATATTTTTTTTAGAGTCAAGATTCTCAAATGGAAGCTACTGCGTTAAATCTAACGAGTGTTGGTGGTGTGTTTTGGGTTACAATTGGAGGCGTTATTCTAGCAGTCGTATTAGTAGTTGCTGAATTAATTTTACATGTGGTCAAGGTTTCCATACAAACAAAAGCGCCGTTCGGACAACTGCTTGTGGAAGAATTCCGATTTTATTTTAAATTCTCAGGGATGGTGAAACCTGTACCTAGGGCGCAGTTGGAAATGGCTAGCAGAAAACCGAGCGAGGAAAGATTGTCACGGGTGAATAATTAGTTTGAAAGTATTTATATTATTATGAATGTTCCTACTATATTAAATTTATTTTTGTTTTAAATGGGTTGGACTATTTAACAAGAGTAGAATAATATTCGGATAATGCCAGTAAGTTATTATAATAAAAAAAAAACTCAACTCAGTGTATAATTACTAATTAGATAATTATTTCAAATAAATAATTTTCCAGATACATGAATTTAATTATCGACTCGCCCCAGGGATGCTTATTAATGTGAATTATTTACAGTAACAACAACTTATTTAATATTACTTTTAAACTTGCTCTTGAATCCTAAATACCAAAGGGTTTTTACTAACGGCAATTCCAACATTTAATTAAAACCAACAGTATATATTTTCCAGATAGTCTAATACGCTAAGGCTTTTGCAGTTGACACATGTAAAAACACTCGAACTGAAGAGGAAGACTACCAATCTTTTTATACACTCACAAACAAGTACAAACAAGTACTAAAAGATATGAACATGCTCTGATGAGTTGATACAGAAATATGCCTTGGTTTCAATGTAAATAATTTTTGAAATAATTTCTTTTTTGTGGTGGTTGCATAGACGGGCAGCTTTGCTGACTCTCGCCAAAATGAATTTAGATAATAAAGACATTATTATTATTACGTATATCCACTGCATAACTAAATGTCTAAATCTTTTAAATGCCTCGGTAAAATTGTCAAAATTTGTGTCTCGATCACTTTGGCAATAACTTAGAGCAATAATTTTCTGAGTTTGCAACATTTCGTCGTTAATTTTCACCTAATCAACGTTCGTAGTTGCTTCAAACACCCCACAACTGCCATGCAAGTCGACTCGGTATTAATTTTGTTTCTCTGTGTGCTGCAACATTATAAATTTGAGCATTTCAGCGTTCCCATCTTTCATCATTTGCGTCATAACAATTCGAAAGATGCACCGCCGAGCTCGATATTGTGCAAGTTTATGAGTTGTCTGGCGAATCCAGTTAATTTCCGTCGTATTTATTGCAAATGAACGTACTTATTGGAGCAAGTTTTGACAAGCTCTATTAAATTACTGAGCCAGTGCTGTGCTAATCAGAATCAGTCTGTCCCAGGATGGGTCAGTTTTGAATTATCCGTCCTGCACAATTCTCTGCTGCAACAGACATCTTTAATACCACGTCCTAGTTTCCGGTAGAATGACTAAATTCCAAACCTCATTTATTCTTATTGTGGCATACTCGTGTGGCACCGAGCGGAATTACCAAACAGGAAGACATGAGGAGCTGTCTTCTAAAGCGAGACTTTATTGACTGGTCCCTTTGTGGTGGGCTATAAAATCGTTAGAGTACTAATTAAATTCATACTTAATTGAAATTCCTGCTGGCTCATGATTGGCATGAAATTTTCGTTTTGTTCGGAGAACCGAGCCCGGTATGAATTTAATAAAGGGAGTTTTTCACGTGCGGCGGTAAATAAATAAAGCAGAATAGTCGCCGACCGCAAAAAATTTCGTTTTAATTACAACAATCTCTTTGGATTATGCTCGGTTCGTGCTACATAAAATTTTATGTCGTCTTTTTTCGGTACAACTTTATGAATGGGGGGAACATTCGCCAAATATAGAGCAGGTAATCAGTTTGAAGGATTTTGATAAATAATCTAAATTTTTTAGAGTGCTTTCGTTCACATCCACGTATTCAGTCAGTTTTTGACAGATTTCATAAAATGGCTTCGGTATGAAAACCGGCATGTGGAAGCATAACCGTAACGGGGAACATTTCATTTTATGCCTACTCACTTACCTTGATAAAACTCAATTTCTTATTCGCGTATTCTAAACGAATTCACTTACCTGAAACTAAAAAAGGCATGCGTTAGTTCAGAGCAATTATGCGACGTAATAACAATAAATTGATGTATTAAAGTGCATTTTGTTTGCATTTTTTCTCTGGCGGCGAACAAGAGACGGATCGATAGTTCGCTTATCGGACGATAAATGTAATCTAATAGTGTGACGCAACAGCTTTTGTAGCAGCAAAGACATTAACAGAGTGGATAAATTATTCATTCTGTGTCATTGTATTGATTTCTAAAATATGTATTAAGCACTACATATTTTATCAGTTCGTGGTGGCTGTTTCAGATTATTATTACTTGCAAAGTGCACTTCTACTAATGTCATGGCAAAATTAGATCATTTAAATGAGAGATATATTATTAATTTTAAAAAATTACACAAATCTGTGTAGAAAATACATATATCTATTAAAAAAAAAAAAACAGAAACTCGTGTTAACAACAAAATGCTTGTAAGCAAGGTAGTGACTAATTTAAAATATATACATTGATTTATTAAAGTATGTTCAGTGAGAATTAATATTACAAAAGAGTATAGCCCGCTGATGAAAATTTGAGGCAGAGTGGAAATATATTTTGAGAAAAATAAACCAGTAAAACGACTATAAAGTGGGCCTAAATGAGTATGTAGTTATATTAGATATTAATACATTTTTACTTTCCGAACACAAAGGAAGAAGGCATAAGCCGTTCAGAATGTTTGAGACAACAGTGAGCCATCAAATTTTTTCTTCAACCAAAATTCGCAAAATGTTATGTGCACAAATACATGTTGTTGCACAAAAATTACTTTTTTGACAAAATTCCTCCAGTTTCAAAATTCTTGTGGGCATTTAACATTCGTGTACCTCGACGGAATTTGGATTTACCAAAATGGTTCAATATCATTTCGTCGTTGGATGCACGAATCAGATTTAAGAAGTAATCCCAAAATTAAAAATGAAGGATCAAGATTTACAATTCTACACCCACGAAGTCAATTTGAGTTTTTAAATGGTTATAACTTTTTATTAATTTCGAAAAACAATGATAAAGATCATCACAAAACAATGGACAGGACACTTTTTCAAATTATATAGGTGGTTAATCAATTTGTTCCTGCTTTGGCTAAGTTGAAGAAAAAATGTGTGGTGGTTATGGACAATGGACCAGTATCATTCAGTGCAGTTGGAAAAGCCAGCAACATTTTCTAATAAAAAAGTCAAATGCAAGAATGGCTGCTTAATCATAGTATTGAATTAAGTATACTATATTACAGTATATTTTTGATCTGAGGACGGTTACCTTTTGGATATTATTCAAACAGCTGTAAAAATACAGATTTTGCCTTTTGTCTTTTGATCCAAGTATTCCAAATTTTGAGCACAATTAACTGGAACTAGGATGAACACTCTTGAAAGACAAGAAAAAATGTTGATACAGTTTACTAAAATTAAAGCTTAAATCATTACTTATTCTAGTGTAAATTTTAAATTTGATTATCCTTAATATGCTTCAGTATTTAATACTGAAATAATTGTTTACTTCAGTGCTTTGAATCGTACTTATTGGAATGAACAGACAAAGTATGAAATTACTAGCAACTGTGTTACACTTTTTGTCAGATTTTCTAACTTTATATTAAAAACAACCTGACTATGACTTGATATGATAAATTTCATTTTTTATTACAAATCTTTGCAAATACGAAATTGTTGCCAAGCAAATTAGTAAGATTACACAAACTACCTTTGTCGAAAAACATTCCCGAACGGTATATAGATACATATTTGTAATACGTTCCATCGTACTAATGGCTACTTTCATGTTTTCTCCACGTTTCACAACCCCTAGAGTACGAAAAAAATAGGTTTCCCGACCTTTTCCAGACCTGTCGGTCTGTTGTCTGTTTAATTTTATTATTTCCAAAACTGCTGTACCGATTATGATTGTGATTACTTTTTATATGTATGTTAGGAATAACGTGTAGATGGTAAAATACTTATTAAAATTTGTTTAATTATACCTATCAACACTTTGATGGTGTTCTGTCAAAATTGCGTTAGTAATTGTCATCGAAATTTTATCAAATCACATACTCCTACTCTTGTAGTTTATGAATCCGCCTTGAGTTTTTCCTAAAAACAAAATCCAAATTGAATAACAAACTTTTAAATTGATATAAGCGAAGGCGCTTACAATTTTTTTGTGGGGTGCAGAGTAGGTGTTATGTTAGCAACGCAAAGATCTTACGCGGCACTGTGACTGGAATTAAGTATGATTTTTCATTTGTAGGGTTTTTCATAATTGAAATAATATTTCCGAAAATTATATTATATAATTTTACGAAGTAGCAGATTTGTTGGATTGTACTCCAGGAGCAAAAGAAGTTTAGTCAAATAGTAAAAGTCAAAATTACAATTAAATTGCAATAATTTAATTTAATTATTAGTTACTATTTAATTTTAACCATTATCTTTTTCACGAGTTTAGTGATTTAATAATTACGAAATATTGAGGAATATTCATGAATTTTTATTTTAACTTTATTACTCTTTTTCCAGGAGCAAAGTTACTCCGTAAATACCATCACATCAAAGCTACAAAACATGCAATAAATATGTACGCTCAGCAGTATTGTTTACCCAGGTTTGGTCACCCGCATTTTCATTTTTTTATGATTTTAAAAATAACGCAATCATTTAATTTTCCCGAAAGTCGCAAAAAAAGTGAAATGGCTACTCGGTTTTGTACGATTGTAACTTTGATTTGCCTGTTCAGAATTAATGACTGTTTCTAATAAAATGTACCGATAGGAGTATTTCTCATTTAATTTTCCAGAAATCCATTATTAAAACTATTGTTTTTGCATCTGTTATTAGTACTCGCATCTAGGAATACATCGTAACAACGGCACATAGCCAATTAAATTCTTACTACATCACTAGATTTTTTTTCTGTAGCCACCAAGTACCCGCTTTGCCCGGTCTCCCTTACCGTTAATAATATCTCCGTCTCCGAATAAATGATTTATGATCACGACGTTTTACGTTGGTATCACACTTGAAGTGGTTTCGTATGTGCCGGTTTAAAAATCGCCTGTATAGGGCGGGATTAGCCCAGTGATGGATGGTTTCTTCATTCGCGGAAATGACATATGAAAATGACCTGTTGTTGTATTTCGGTAATGTCATCAGCAGAAATGGAGAAATAAGCAGGTGGATGGTGGGTCGAGACAG